CTTTTTTTTTTTTTTGGGGGGTGGTATTCCTTTCTTTTCTTTCCTTCTTCCCTTCCTTCTTTCTTTCTTTCTTTCATCCTTTCCTTTCCTTTCCTTTCCTTTCCTTTCCTTCCCTTCCCTTCCCTTCCCTTCTTTCTTTCTTTCTTTCTTTCTTTCTTTCTTTCTTTCTTTCTTTCTTTCTTTCTTTCTTTCTGTGTGTGTGCGCGTGCGTGCATGTAGAATGTGGAGAATGGGAGAGACAGAGAAAAAGAAATTACCCCCCCCAGGGGGGGTGGCCATGCCACAATCCCTTCTCCATTCTCCTTTCAGGATTTTGGGAACACATGCACACATTCCTGGCGTGATTTTTTAAGCCAATGACTCTAGGATTCAAACCATAGAGTCAGCCATGTGGAGTCCAGCAGCCTTAACTTCCACATCACCTGCTGGCCCATGGCCTGTTGTAATGACAAGTTGATTGTAACTTCACTGCACCCCGTGCTGCCAGATATTCAACACACCATCAGCGTTCTAGACAAGCTGATGGAAGCTGTCCCTCACGGTGAACAGGGTCAATCCAGCTGACCCTGACCTTCCCTGCTAGCTTTTGTCCTTCTTTTTCATATTATAATAGACCAAGAATTTAGATTATAAAGATGGAGGACAAATAAAATAGCTATTGCTGTGTTGATATTGCCAAGAACAAGACTTCTGTGAACTGACATATCTAGGAGGCAAATACAGAAACATAGAAGGAGAATATCTTCTTTTTTTCCTTTTCTTTTTGAGGAAATACTATATATCAGAGATTTTTCTGAGTGTTTTACGTGAATCAATTCACTTAGTCGCTACAACACTATAAATACATGAAGTAGGTTTTGTTATCTGCATTTTACAAGAAAGAAGCAAAGGTGTGGGTGCTTAACTTGCCTTCGCTGTTGAATGACAGATTTCTGGCCGCTTTTAGAACTATTGTTTTTAACCATGTTGTTAACCTACCTATGGAGGAACCAGCATTTATGGAATTCGTTCTGCATGCCAACAATATTGTGCCAAGTTCTTTTCATTTTCTCATTTAAACTCTTTGACAATTCAACAAGATAGTTATTATTTTTCCCAGTTGTCACAGGGGAAGCTAAAGCCTATTAAAAGTGCTCAGCCTCCGAAGTGGTAGAGGTGGGATTTGAGCCTTGGCTCGGTAGTTCCACTGTGCTGTGCTTTGAGTCTGGTTCACAGCTGCTGGTTGTACTATGCCAGTTTTGTCAAAAGCATCAGATGTCAAGAAGCCTGTTCAACAGGTTCAAAAATGGAAAATCAACTACTTCTTGGCCTAATTTTTAGAATAGACCTGAGACTGACATCTCTATAGTGTTCTCCTTTTTCACACTCCACTTGAGTGGCATTACTCGAGCTTTCATTTTTCTTCCTTTTAAGTGACCTTGGTTCTGGTGGATGAGGCTGAATTGACAGAGCTAAAGGTCAAGTCTCTGCCTGCCTCTAGCCTGGCCGTCTCTCCCAACAACAACACCTGGTGAATGTCCACCTACTGCCCAGTACTATTTACCACACTGGACAGTTCCCTGAGGTCTGGGAGCAGTCTCACATCAGTGGCAAAAGAGCCAAATAAGGACACAGCCACATTCTGTCCAAAAGAACTTAAAAACTTTCTCACTAAAGGCTCATCTACTTCAGAGAGCCTTCCCTAAGGATGACAGGAACCCAGGACCTTGAGTTCCTGCTGCTTAGCTGAGGGGTCTTGCCCTTTCTTTCTTGCTCCTCTCCATAGAATCTCTCATTAGTGAAGGCCTAAATAATCAACTGGATTAGCTTCCCAAGAGCTTCTGTAACAAATTACAACAGACTTGAATGGCTTAATGCAAAAGAAATTTACTCTCTTACAGTTCTGAAAGCCAAAATCTAAAGTCAAGACACCAGCAGGTCCATGCTTCCTCTGAAGGCTTTCAGGAACAATCCACTGTTTCTACAGTTCTTCTTTCTGGTGGTTGCCAGCAGTCTTTGGCATTTCTTGACCTATGGATTCATGCATCATTCCAATCTCTGCTTGTATCTTTACACATGAAATGTTCTTCCCATAAAGACACCAGTCATTGGATAAACGTCCATCCTAATCCACTATGACCTTATTTTAACTTGATACATTTGCAAAGATCCTGTTTTCCAGTAGGTCAGGTTCAGAGATACGGGGTTAGGGCTTGAACACAGCTTTTGGGGGCACAGTTCAACCCACAAGGAGGACTGTATTGGCACCTGCCTGCCCTTTCTCTAGAGAAGCAGTGTTTGAAAAGCTCAGCTGCCTTTCCTTGACCCATTTGCTTTCCTCCGTGTGTCTTAGGTACCACGTCTGGACGAAAGGCCATGCACCCACCAACTTTGCCAAGTGGCGGACTGCCACCACGCCTTACCGGGTCGAGTGGGAGGCCGATTTTGAGCCGTATGTGGTCGTGAGACGTGATTGCCCTGAGTATGATCGGAGGTTCGTGGGCTTTGGCTGGAACAAGGTGGCTCACATCATGGAACTGGATGTGCAGGTGAGGAGAACAGAACTGCCACCTGGTGCCACGGCAGGAGAGGCCTAGACTTAGGGCCAAAAGTGACCTTGGAGATAGGAGAGCAGAGGCCTGAGTGGAACAAGAGGTGCTCAGACCTAGAGTACTCTGTGGCAGGGCTGGTCCTCAGGCTGTGGATCCCATTGGTGTTTCCTCTACCCTTGAGTGAGAGGTGGGCTCCTGACCAGGACCTGTGCTGGTGTGAGCCCCTGTGACTATCCATGTTCCCCATGCCTCATCGTCACCCAGCTCAGTGATGGGACTAGCAAATGACCATTCGTCTCTCAGCATTTGAGACTTGTAATTGACACAGAAGAGTCTAAAGTTCTATATGAGTGACCCAAAGCTTGCCACTAACACTTAGCAGCTGATTATTCCACCTCTAACTAAGAGTTAGGACTTTTAGGTTGGGTTTAGCCAGGAATGTGTCATTTGTTTACCTGATACTCATCAGGCACCCACTTCAAAAGAGAGCTGCGGAATTCTAACAGGTGAAACCAAAGGTCAGCACACTTGCTCTCTGAAGGACCAGATATAAGTGCTTTGAGCTCTGAAGGGCCTGCAGGTCTTTAATTATTCTGCTCTGCGTTGTAGTTCATTGTCGGTAATCAGAATGAAGGGGCATGGCTGTATTAAAGTAAAACTTTATTCACAAAACACATGGCAGGCCAGACACACCTAGTTGGTCAACTCTTACATGACAAAAGCAAAAGCGAAGCTGCTCTGGTTAAGTTAGTAGAACACTGGGCTCTTCCCCTTTGTCTCTGCTCTCTAAGAAACCTTCTCCTGGAACACAGCATAAATATTTCTCATCATGAGCACCCCAAATCCAGAGATGCCAGTGCTGAACTGGTTCAGGAAAGGTCAATTTTTCTAGCACTGAAACCTGGCTTTGTTTGTTTCATACAATTTTAACAGAACCCTTGAAAATGGGCGGCATATTTTCCATTCTTTGCCAAAACCATATGTCAAGCATAATGTGCCCTTTCCAGTGACTTAAGGAGATAATAAGTGCATACCTGGCAGGTAACACAGCCACACCCATAGAGACCAACAGACTTGGATGGCTGTCTGACCTTCCTTGAAATATACCAGATAACCGCACCCTGAGGATTCTTCCATTTCCTTTTTATGAGTGTCTCACTCATTCCTAAATTTACATCAGCTCTCATTTCTTGTTGTCAGTATTCCACCCGAGTCAGCTGCCTTACCATACCTGACTCTCCCTTTCTGAATTTATTTCCATCTGCTCTGGGCTGGAGAACCAATCAGAATTTATTGGATATTATGTCCAAAATCAGAGTCCATAGATCTGAATGTAAATATGCTGGGCGCTCTTCTGATTTACATATCCTAAGCTTGTGTCACCTATTTTGACTATTGAGAGGCCTTTAATTTTTTTTTTAATTGTCAAGAGGGCACATGCACTGGCCAGAAAGAGACAAAGAGATGGTGGGAAGAGGGAAAAAGCTCTCCCCAGTGGGGCATGTTCACATTCCAGTCCCTTCTCCTTCATTTCCCAAATCTGTTGGGATTTGGGGCTCACACACACATGCATTCAGTGTGTTTTCCAAGCCACAGCGGCCAGGATTTGAACTGTGGTCAGCCATGTGGGATCTGGCTCACCTTAACCACCAGGCTATGGGGTCAGCTCAAGTCCTTTAATTTTTATTCTTAGTATTTAGCTGCATTTGTACAATGTGATACAGGACTTGTAACAAAGACATGATGTTGGGAAAAATTTTGTTCTTGATGAGCCTCAGTCCAGTCCAGTGGGGCATTTGTTTTTATTTTGATTTTGTCTTTTTTTTTTTTTTGGTCCCTCTTTTATACCGATCTGTCAAGGTTGTCAAATCTCATTAGACCCTAGGAGGAATCACATATACAGATGTCAGTTAGTTGAGCCAGAGACTGTCCATGGTTTGAGTCATTGTAGAGTAACCACAAGGTTGTAAGCTCACGTTTATCAGGATCCTTTTTCATGGGCTGTGAGCTCTACTCTGCACTATCTATACACTATTGGATCTAGCCTCATGGTCAACCTTCAAGGCACATGTTACCACTTTCACCTTATGGATGAGAAAACTGAGTCCCAGAGAAGCTAAGTGTTTAGTCCATGGCGGCGGACTATCCACAGCACAGATGTCCTGTTGTCTGTGCACTGCTCTGCCTGTTGGTGGCACTGTCCAGGTCATTCCTCGCTCAGTCACTGGGTCATTCACTTGGCGCCCACCACCCATTACCGACAGCTCTCACAGGTTCTCACATTGCTCTTGTCTTCTTCCAGGAGTATGAATTCACTGTGCTGCCCAATGCCTACATGATCCACATGCCTCACGCCCCCAGCTTCGACATTACTAAGTTCCGTTCCAACAAGCAATACCGCATCTGTCTCAAAACTCTGAAGGAAGAGTTTCAGCAGGACATGTCCCGCCGCTATGGCTTAGGTTAAGTTAGTAGAACACTGGGCTCTTCCCCTTTGTCTCTGCTCTCTAAGAAACCTTCTCCTGGAACACAGCATAAATATTTCTCATCATGAGCACCCCAAATCCAGAGATGCCAGTGCTGAACTGGTTCAGGAAAGGTCAATTTTTCTAGCACTGAAACCTGGCTTTGTTTGTTTCATACAATTTTAACAGAACCCTTGAAAATGGGCGGCATATTTTCCATTCTTTGCCAAAACCATATGTCAAGCATAATGTGCCCTTTCCAGTGACTTAAGGAGATAATAAGTGCATACCTGGCAGGTAACACAGCCACACCCATAGAGACCAACAGACTTGGATGGCTGTCTGACCTTCCTTGAAATATACCAGATAACCGCACCCTGAGGATTCTTCCATTTCCTTTTTATGAGTGTCTCACTCATTCCTAAATTTACATCAGCTCTCATTTCTTGTTGTCAGTATTCCACCCGAGTCAGCTGCCTTACCATACCTGACTCTCCCTTTCTGAATTTATTTCCATCTGCTCTGGGCTGGAGAACCAATCAGAATTTATTGGATATTATGTCCAAAATCAGAGTCCATAGATCTGAATGTAAATATGCTGGGCGCTCTTCTGATTTACATATCCTAAGCTTGTGTCACCTATTTTGACTATTGAGAGGCCTTTAATTTTTTTTTTAATTGTCAAGAGGGCACATGCACTGGCCAGAAAGAGACAAAGAGATGGTGGGAAGAGGGAAAAAGCTCTCCCCAGTGGGGCATGTTCACATTCCAGTCCCTTCTCCTTCATTTCCCAAATCTGTTGGGATTTGGGGCTCACACACACATGCATTCAGTGTGTTTTCCAAGCCACAGCGGCCAGGATTTGAACTGTGGTCAGCCATGTGGGATCTGGCTCACCTTAACCACCAGGCTATGGGGTCAGCTCAAGTCCTTTAATTTTTATTCTTAGTATTTAGCTGCATTTGTACAATGTGATACAGGACTTGTAACAAAGACATGATGTTGGGAAAAATTTTGTTCTTGATGAGCCTCAGTCCAGTCCAGTGGGGCATTTGTTTTTATTTTGATTTTGTCTTTTTTTTTTTTTTGGTCCCTCTTTTATACCGATCTGTCAAGGTTGTCAAATCTCATTAGACCCTAGGAGGAATCACATATACAGATGTCAGTTAGTTGAGCCAGAGACTGTCCATGGTTTGAGTCATTGTAGAGTAACCACAAGGTTGTAAGCTCACGTTTATCAGGATCCTTTTTCATGGGCTGTGAGCTCTACTCTGCACTATCTATACACTATTGGATCTAGCCTCATGGTCAACCTTCAAGGCACATGTTACCACTTTCACCTTATGGATGAGAAAACTGAGTCCCAGAGAAGCTAAGTGTTTAGTCCATGGCGGCGGACTATCCACAGCACAGATGTCCTGTTGTCTGTGCACTGCTCTGCCTGTTGGTGGCACTGTCCAGGTCATTCCTCGCTCAGTCACTGGGTCATTCACTTGGCGCCCACCACCCATTACCGACAGCTCTCACAGGTTCTCACATTGCTCTTGTCTTCTTCCAGGAGTATGAATTCACTGTGCTGCCCAATGCCTACATGATCCACATGCCTCACGCCCCCAGCTTCGACATTACTAAGTTCCGTTCCAACAAGCAATACCGCATCTGTCTCAAAACTCTGAAGGAAGAGTTTCA